ATGGGATAAATAGGTTAACTGTACTTTTTCTCTCATGACCGTCCTATATCTGGCTGATGATCTGGCTATGGTTATCAAAAGCGTGGGTTCCTGAAAACGCCCATGATAGTAATATGGTCTTGATATGTCCCCTTGCGAGTAAGGCGCATCATTATGGCTCTGAGCTCCCCAACGGGGTCGTAGTTCCCTTGTATGGCATGATCAGGATCAGCTGTGAAGTCGGGTTTCCTAATGGGGTGTAGCGTCTTTCTTCATTGTCCTCCGATTCCAATTCTAGTAGTCTCCAGACTACCTTCTCCATAGCATCAGATTCCAACCCAATGTTTCCATCATCCATTATGCTGGTTCCTGGTCGTGAAGTAACAGCATTTACGGCAAATTATCAAGCCTGATAGATTCCCCCCTTCCTTCTCCCTCAAGCCTCATGACTTCTGTTGAGCGGACTTGCTCCGATGTCATGACGCCTTTTCTCAACCAGGTAAGCCGGCTAAACAACCTCAGATGGACGTGCTAGATGTCTGGTTGCTAATGCCATATATACGAAGTTCACATCCAGGCCCATCGACTATCATTGTGATAAGCATAAATCCAGATCAGAATCAGCATATAGTGGATTGATCGACTACTTATCAAGATTGATGGTGCTAGTACGTAGTAATGTGAATGGAACGGGGAACTGGGGATACCCCGGATCGACGACCCCCACGCGGGGTCGCCTCCACTTCTCCGCTTCATACTTTCTAGCACTATGAAGTATGCTCGAAGACATCATGCCTCGGGAACTCTATAGTTAATCCGCCTACCAGGTTTAGATCCGTCTAAAGCCTGAAGCAGATCGTCATCAACCCTTGTTCTGATCGGCTTTTCTCCGATACTTCTTGCCCCCTATCGTCCAATCAAGGGCGCCAGATACAAGCTATACCCCGGATCATCAATGACGGTGAAGAGTATGTGGCTTGGTTTGCGTCGGCATATGCCGTGCTGGTCGGTACTCAAGGCCTGGAGGCGAGATAAAGAATGTTTCTCTCGTCTAGACAGCTTCTGAGACCCCCACGCTGGCACAAAACCCCTCCAATGATTGGTAGATGCCCATACCTTGGAAACTAACATCCAGGACCGGGGCATGATGTGAAGGACAAAGCTCCTACTAGCGTTGAACATGAAGCAGGGGTCTTCTAGACATTATAATCATACTGTCTTCCGGGTCGCTCTTCATTTCATCCAGGCTGGACCTTAAGCTCGATGGTCTCTAGGTCAGCATTAATACAGCGAGATAGCTTCCCTGCCAGAGACTTCAGGAGCAACTGTTGCTGGCTTCATCAATTATCAACCTTATACACATCTTATTACACTAGCTACCAATATGGCGGAGATATCGCAGTTCAAACCAGATATCGCTCATGAGGAAAATATAGGCCATCCTGCAAACAATCATGAAACAGATTGGGTTAAGAAGCAGACGTCTGATGGCGATGTTGCTATGACGCTTATTACGGACCCGGATGTGCTTGATGAGCCTGTTGATCCGGCGGAAGTAAGGAAGTTACTGCGGAAGATCGATTTCATGATCCTCCCATATTTGGCAGTTTGCTATGCATTCTTCTACATTGATAAGGTACGCGGCTCTACTTTCCTTGCGATCTATTCTTGCTGCGATTAATTGTAATTTGCGATAGACAACCCTGAGCTACGCGGCAATCTTTGGGATTGAGGAAGACCTCAACCTCCATGGCACACAATATAGCTGGCTATCGAGTATCTTCTATTTCGGGTTTCTGGCCTGGGCATTTGTGGGTTGTACCACCTATCAAATGAGATCCAAATGCTAAAATTTTGCTAGCCCACCAACTTCCTTTTGCAACGCTTACCAATTGGTAAGAGCATCGTTTTCTGTACTGAGGTACAGGCTAACTGTGCCATCTAGGAAAGTATCTTGGTGCCAATATATTCCTGTGGTATGTCAATAAACGGGCCGATGTTCTCGAAGAATATGCTAATATTATGAAGGGGAGTATTCCTCATCATACAGGCAGCATGTCATAATTTCACCACGCTCGCTGTACTGCGAGCCCTAGGTGGTGCAGCAGAGGCATGCGCAGACCCAGCTTTCATGCTCATCACTGGTATGTGGTATACGCGACGTGAACAGCCGGTACGCTTAGGTTTATGGTACACTGCCAATGGCTTGGGAATCGCGCTTGGTGGTCTTCTGGGCTACGGAATAGGCAATATCAGAGGCGCCCTTCCTTCGTGGAAGTACGAGTTCATCGTAATGTATGGATGTTTCTAAAACGTATGGTCCTTACCATAATGCTAACTTGTCTTCGTCAGTGGCTCTCTTTGTGCGGCCTGGGGAATCGTCATGTTCATTCTCCTGCCGGACTCGCCAGTTACTGCGCCGCTTCTCACCAAGCGGCAGCGCCGAATTGCCATCGAAAGAGTGAGGGAAAACCAGACGGGTATTGAAAACAAGCATATCAAGCCACACCAGATTTGGGAAGCGTTTACGGACTACAAGCTCTACATCTTCTTTTTCCTGGGTGTATCTTGTGAGTGACTTTTAGCATACAAAATTTCGTAACGCTAATTTCCCATTAACAGGCAACATTCCCAACGGTGGCATCTCGAACTTTGGAACTATTATCATTCAAGGTTTCGGTTTCTCGACGCTCGTGACAACCTTGATGCAGGTATGGAAGTCTTCAAAGAGACGTTTTACCTGAGCACTAACAGCATAGATCCCTTACGGAGCGATTATCGCACTCTCCATCCTACTCTGCGTGTACCTCAACGACCGCTTCGAAAACAGGCGTTGCGTCTTCATCGTGATCTTCCTCCTCCCGAACATTGCAGGAGCCTTCGGGCTACGCTTCGTCCCACCGCATGTCAAAGTCGGCCGCTTGATTTGCTACTACTTGACCGGGCCATACAATGCTGCCTTCGTGCTGATTCTCAGTATGCAAATCGCAAACACAGCCGGTACATTACCCTACCCCTCCCCTCCCCTCCTCTTCCTCCTACTCTATCAAAGATATAATCAGGCCTAACGCTGCACAGGACACACGAAAAAGGTCGTTAGCAACGCAGTCCTCTTCCTAGGTTACTGTACCGGTAACATAGCAGGACCTTTCTTTTACAAGGAGAGCCAAAAGTAAGCTTTCCGCTGACCAGTGTAATGGATACCACTAAGAATATTGGGATAACAGGCCAACCTATGATCTGGGAATCTGGTCAATGATCGTCTGCCACCTTGTCGAGGTCGTGCTTATCTCGGCTCTCGGTCTTCTGCTTCGCTGGGAGAACAAACGCCGTGATCGAATCCAGTCCCAGATGGCTGGTGGTTTGGAAGGAAGAGATTTGGATTCCACAGCATTTCTGGATTTGACGGATAGGGAGAATCTCAAGTATGCCATGCCTTTCTTCGCTATCAGAGTCTGCCATCGTATATGTGATGCTAACTGCTGGGGTTTGATAGCTTTCGGTATATTTATTAGCTTTCTGGGGTATATTCCTTTTTTTCCCCTGCAGTTAGCTTTACCTGGAAGGCATATTGATTTATAGCAAGCTATTGGTCATGATATGACGTGCCGCGACGTGAGCTGCTACCAAACTCGCTAGAATTCCATATACCGAGTCTCGAACCTTTGGGCTAGATAGTCGAAGACGATATGGATAATAGGAAGGTCTACATGTTCCAATCCATTATCTTTCTCTTCATATACTTCCTAGTCCAGATATCATGAACTGCAACAAACATCTCAAGAACCATCCTTATCCGCCCAAAAAGTAAAACCGGGACTGAAATTCAATATACACACATATGCTAGTAATAATACACATTCATTCGCGCCAAATATACCCAAGTCCAAACTATGCTGACCGAGTCTACCGTCTCTTCGTCTGGCCACCGCCCCTCTTGCCAGTAAGCGATCTCTTCTGTCGGAGGTAGTTGGCAACGAGGTTCTCGACGCTGCCCATATCGTGCTTGGGCTTCCTATAAACCCGAAGGGTAGATCTCGTTAGCATTCCTAAACCCAAAAACCGACTACCCACACAAGATGAGATAATGAAGAAATACGCACCTCATGTAATACAACCTCGCGCGTCTCTTCCTCTTCTCCGCCCTCTGGACAATCTCCACACTCTCAACATTAGGGCTGAACACCTTAATCGACATCTCAACTCCAACTCTCGTCAACTGGTTGCGCAACAAGAACGACGTATCAACACCACGCAACCGAATGCTCAAACAAACACCGGAGAACGGATCTCCATTCTTGAACGTCACCCGCAGAATATCTCCGACCTTGACACTGCGAGGACTCCGTCTGTAGTCGAAAAGAGCGCGGCGCTCCCCCGTGGGATCCAGCTGCGCCAATTGGGCCTCTTGCACGGCGTTCACGGGGTCCTTGCACTGAGGGGCGGGCGGAGGAGGGGGGATCTTGCGTTCTTTGCGCTCTGTATTTCCGTTCATCAAACACATGTTAGATATATGATTCCGCGTTGGTAATCCGGGACGCAAGTCCAAGCAATAAATGGAAGAAGATTGTTCAATCAATCCATACCAGGGTTCGGCCGCATGCGAAGCGGTAATTGACGAAGGAACTGCTCCGGCAGATTCTTAGGGAGAGGCTTGGGCTCAGGCTTCGCGGAGTAGACGGTGCTGAGCGCACGGCGACCGATCTGGTTGTTGACGGTGGTGGTGGACGACAGCGACTGGGGCTTCAGGAGGAGGGAGCGGAAGCAGCCCAGCTGCTGCAGGATCGGGGAAGAAGACGCCATGGCTTGTTCCCTGGTGCAATTCGACCACCTTGGCGTTTGAGGAAGCAAGCAAGACACAGGTTCAATTGTGATTGATACTTTGGAACTTGGGAGGGCGGCGGATCGAGAAATTCGGACCGGCAGAATTTCCGCCAAGCCGCGAGTTGCCTGTTTGGGCCATCAGTCCCAGATTCGACGCTCGGGAACTTTTCTGCCGCCAAATAACTATCTATCTATCTATCTACTTGCTCGACCCCGGTGGTTTTGTTTTTCGAGCGATTGAGTGAGAAGGTTTCCCCCGGACTGTTGTCTTCTTCTTTTCTTTGTGGTCCGTTGAATATATAGTCCTTCTCACATAACGATGGCGCAAAACGCCGTGGGAAGGCTCTTCCGCAGCCAGAATTCCACGACTCTGCGTCAATCCATTGGGTCGCTTACACAGACGCGCAATGCTTCTAGGAATGGTATGTCTATATGTCTGATTTATATGGCTTCGAATTGAGCATACAGAGGAACTAACGGACCACCCTCCGCAGCCGTCCCTACCTTCCAACAAACCTCGTCCCCGGAGCTGGACCAAGCCCTCACCCGGTTCCGCGAAGAGCTCTTCATACCCTTCGGTCTCGGCCAGGACCAACGACGTCTCATGTTCCGCCAGAAATACGCCGACCGACTGGAGCAAGAGCCCGTGACGGCCAACATAAGCGAGGACGAAGACTTCCTCCTTCGCCCGATGGACCCGCAATCACGACCGACGCTCAAAGAAGCCGCGGAGGTGATCAGCCTGATGCAGAGCAAGAATGACTGGAAGAACCTGGTGCCGTTCCTGTCGGGACTACAGATGGCCAACCGGCACTTGAAGCCTAGCCGGTTGGAGTGGCTGGTGCGGAAGGCGGGCGAACACAATGCGGTGAACTTCGTGGTGGAAGCCGCGAAACAGGCGGACAGGACGGGTGTGAAGCTGAATGAGGTCGGGATTGTGCAGCGGTTGTTCTTTGAGCTGCATCGCAAGGCTCAGAAGGCGGAGTTCCAGGGCCCGGAGGTTACGAAGGCTTTCAATCTGGCGACGCAGTTGGTTGGGTTGATGGAGCGCCCGCCACATGTTCAGCATGATGTGATGGTTGATCCCAAGAGGAAGCCGTTTGTGGCGGGGACGTTGTTGGAGTTGAGTGCTGCTAGGGCGCTGGGTGAGTTCGAGGGTAAGGATCAGGGTGGTCTGGTGCGCATCTACAGTAGTCGGGTGCTGGGGTGCTGGAAGATGGGTAACTTCGCTAGTGATGTCCAGGATTGGCGCGCTGTGGATAAGATGCTGCAGGAGAATGTGCCGATCTATAATGGTATGAAGCTTGCGCTGAAGGTGCAGGGCATTGCCAATGACAAGACGGTTGCTCCGGGCCTGAAGAACAGGCTCAATGAGCTGGGTCAGTTGATCGCCAAGCAGAAGAAGAGCGCTCCTGAGGAGATTCAGAAGAACCCTTCGCTGGGTCTGGCGCAGGCTCAGCTCCTTCATGAGAACTAGAGCCGGTGTCTTCTACATTTTGCCATTTTCAGCTGATTTTATCTTTACTGTATATTACCATTTTGGATCGTTCGGAGCTGTATCTGTATTTGAAGATAGATGCCATTTCCTTTCATTCTTTCTGAGACAAACTAAGCTGTGCTTGCTAAGGTTCAATTGTTATGATGCAGGTGATGAGGTGATTTGCTGGTGGGTTGGTTCAGGGATGAAAGGGTTGATAACAGGGAAGAAAAAAGAACCCGGAATATATGCTCAAACGCTCATTACTTGCTTGACAAGCGGACTAAGGAAGGAGTTCAAAGGTGTTATCATCACGAATGCGAGCACGTCCTTCCAAGGTGGTCTTGCCAGAGATGACAGAAGGACCGGATACGGTGATCTAAGCAAATGGTAAGTGGATGAATAAGATGCATGGCTGTTGGCTGGCTTACCTGGCCCTCTTCTTTTGCCTCGTCGCCCGACCCACCGGTCAACACAACTTCAACACTGCTCAGAGGCGCACCAAAGTGGCTCGAGCCTTGGAAGCGGCGATAGTCGAAAACATTGGTCTGGAAAACAGCACCAGCAACCCCGGGACCGGTCAAAGCGTACACCACGCGTGCTCCGGTGAGGATACGCAAGTCTGCGAGTTGCTCATAGTCCAGCTGAGCCTCACGGTCGGCATTGACACGGTGCGAAATGCACAGCAGACGCAGCTTATCAAGCGAGAGTTCGGCGGTAGGCCCGACGTTGGCCACCTGGTTCAGCAAACCGTGCGAGGGCATGTAGCCGGAGTCCAGGCTTCGCACCTGAATCCAGCGAGAAAAGAGAGAAACAAACCCGGAATGCGGCTTCATGAACTTGCTGTGGTATTCAGACATGGTGCGCGAAGAAGCAACAATGACAGTCGGGGACAATCCAACAGTGGCGAGAGCAAAGTCAACGCTCTCTCCAGCAACCGAGTTGAGGGCAACGGACGCATTTGAGTACAGTGCAGCCATGATTTGGCACAGAGGGTATGACCGCGAGAGGGAATCAATCGAGAGAACGAGATCGTTGGGGTTGAGCCGCTGAGGACGAGGCAGGGAGAACATGATTCCAGCAATACCCGCAATCAGGTTCTATTCCATGTTAGCGCTCGATCGAGCCGGATGTGTTGACACAAGATTGCCTACCTCTGATTGATATTCGATGAACTCGCCTGCGGACGACTTGGAAGGCCAAACAGTGGTGAGGGAAGGCGCCGGAGTACTGGGGTCCCAGCTGGGAACATCAAGACCGGTAAGGTCCTTCTTTTCTTCAACCAGCTCGTGCCAGACACGAACCTCCAGAGTACCCTTGACATCTTCGGGGACATCGTTCCAGTCCATGTGTCTGCTTCCGAGCTTTGCAACCCAGATTACCTGCGAGAGCTGATCATTACCCTTGGCAACGAGAGATAGGTCAAGAGCGCCGGCCTCCGCGATAAGAGCCTCCGCTCCAGACTCCTTCAGAAGACTTGAAAGAGACTCGGCGTCCAGGTTGTGGGGGATGATGATTGTCTTGAGACCGTAGAAAGCGCCCGCTAGAGACCTCGTCAGCAACAAATAGAGCGAGTGGACAGATGAAGGATTTTCGAACCGAAGATAGAAGCCAGAAGCTCAACCGAGTCTGTCAGACAGACGGCGACCGTGTTCACCTTGGAGGACTGCAAACGACTTCCAATGACATTGATTTCTTGGGTAACTTGCTCCAAGGAATGCTCGATTGCTTTCCTGCCGAGCACAGTATAGATCTTTCCTTGTTTACCAGAGCCCTTGCCATCCTCTCCAACTGCACCCCGCACGGCGGCCTTCCAGATGTCGCGCAGATCACCCTTGCGACCGCTTGTCCATCTCGGAGCGCCGGGGTCCTTGACGTTGAGTCCGGATCGGAGGGGGAAACCGTGCGGAGTCTCGAGACTGCGGTATTGAGCAGTTTCACCGGGCTGTCGTACGGGAAAAGCGGTCGACTGGCGAGCGAGTAGAAAAGGGTGAATATCGGAATCTTTGGAGACGACGAAGGAGAAGACGAGGAAGGCGACAATGCCGCCCGCGATCAGAGTAGTGTAGATATTCCAGTCAGCCAGGAGCTCTGCCGCAAAGGCATCGAGCTTGGCCACGATGGACGGATTGGAGTCCATTATGGAGAGAGCGAGTGTATCTAGTGTGGTGTGTCAAGCATCCATTCACGAACTGAAAGAAAGAAATGCTCCTTCTTTAATGGATCGAGTGAGAATGAGGGTAAGAGTGAGTGACGTGAGGGGGCTGAGCCGGGGCTGAGGCTAAAGGCTTATGGAAGAATGGCTATGATGCCAGATGTGGGGAGCCGCGGCGCCTAAGCTGACTAGTGCCGCTGAAAGCTCCCGATTCGGGTTGGCTGAAAACTTCGCGCCAAAGGCGCTTGTGGTTGCCAGTGACCCTTGCCGGCGCACTTATCATCAAAACAATCAGTCGCTGCCCCATTCATTCACATTCACTCTGTCCCGAGTCCTGCCTGCCCCTCCCCTGTGACCATGATCCTGTCGGGACCCTCTCTGTAATCTTGTCACCAAAGATCCCATAGTCACCGATGTGGTAGGACAAGTATATTTCCATTTCGCAATTGATTCAACTACAGGTAAGTCCAACAGCAATTTTCTTATTTTAGGTAAGTGACCATGCCCCCCTTTGCCCATCTCTGTAACAAGATGCCATACTGACACGGTGTAGTGTCGTCTTCATTCAAGCGTACACTCTCCCCTTTTAAATATAAACCAATGGCGTCCCCTGCCCCTCCTTCTACCCCGAAAGCTGCATCTGCGTCTGTAGCGACGCCCGATGACTCTCAGACGCCCGGGAAGTGGCGTCATCCTCATTTGAACGAGGTCGTCCGTCGACAGAATGCTGGTACATTCGGAGATCGCAATATCAATAAGCTTGTGTGGAACACAGCCGCTTTGTTTGCGACGTGGGTGTTTGGAGACACCATCAAGTCATAGTGAGTGCTTGCAGGCGCATCAGGTGCGCGGTTCCAGGGGCATTCTAACCAGCGTCGCAACAGTTTGCTTTGGCTTCAGAAAATTGGCCCGGTCTCTACATACCCCGATCTTTCATTGCTAGTCCTACAAGTCATCTTTGCTCTGAATATCCTGGTTGCCTTGTACCCTCTTTTCCGCCCGAAAGACAATTTCTCCGACATTCCATTGACCCCTACACAACGCTCGCTTTTGGGGCTGGATCCCTCCGCCACACAGTCGTTTACTCCGGGCACGACGTACGTTACTCCGCCTAGGTACCGACTTTCTGCGTCTCGGAACGCCAGCCCAGCTAGCAGATCCGGTTCCCCCTTGTCAGCAAGCGCTGGCGCTTCCGGACACAGGCTATCGTCAGGACCTTCTTTCTCGCCCTCTCCGAGCCCGTTATTGCACAAAGTGGTCACAAATGGGAGCAAGGAAAGCGGGCGGAGGCCGAGCTTTGGATCTTCGTCTCCGCTCGGGCGCAGCTCATCCTTTTCGCCTTTCAAAGAATCTTCTTTTAAGGAATCTACGTTCAAAGACTCTACATCCACATTCAGGGAATCGACCATGTCGACATTTTCCGGTATGTCCAGCATTGCGCCCGCGACTCCTTCACCGGTGGGTGGCAAGCGTGTGAGCCTGGGTTTGAGCAACAAGTGGCTGTATGAGCGGAGCCGGCGCCTGTCAGCAAGCAATGGTAGCCTTTGATTTGGACCAGATTATTGGTCTTGTTTTTGGTCTCAGGGAAGAATAAGAGACGATTCATGTAAACTCGTGTGTTTTCTAGCGGGGTGCTTCGGAAATACCTTTTTAGGCCGTATTTTGTTATGATGTTGCATGTTGCATGATGTACTTTTAGAAAGGGTCCGTTTCCTAAGAATAATCTCGAATAATCTCCGAGAGACTGCGACTCGATCGCCGCGTACTCTAAAATAGGAGACGGTGTGTTAGATTCAGCTGAGGTTCGTTCCCCAGTCGATCCTCCGGGTCTCCGCGGGCCTAGTTCCCGCTTCCAAGGCATTGACCCCAAGACCGCCAACATGCCACAAGTTCATTCATTCACACGCGGCCTCAAACTATTGGGCTTACGTCCCAGGCAAATCACCCTCGAGGATTACCCTCGCACCGGACATTCTTCCTGAGATCCTAGTGCTGCTTTACTGCATGAGGTCAATAATTCCGTGATCTTCGCTGGAGACTTCACCATGGGAGCTTCGGAGTCCAAGCTCGTCTTCAAGCAGGGCATCTTCCGTCTTTCAGAGGAGAAGGACATTCCTGCGGATGATCCCTATTGGGCCAGGGTTTGCCTTCCTTTTCCCTGCTCCAGCTTTTCTATGACGCCGAAGTGGCTTACTGACCGATTCGTGTAGTTCTGGGAGCTCCCAGAGTCCTCGGAGGACGTCTTCAGCCTGTTCACACCTGCCGATATACGACGAACTCGCGATCATGCCTTATCCAACTTTGAAACTCTCTTGCTCTCAGTCACCTCACGTCTCACCGTATTAAAAAATCATCCATCTTTTCCTGACCCCGAACTCGCCCCCGACCGCGATGCGCTCAATTGTATCCGCATCCTCACCCGCCTCCTCCCCTTTGTCTACGAGGCTGAACACCTAGAGGAATGGGAGGAGAAATTTTTCTGGGCTCGTCGCAAGAAGAGGACCAGAGAGGCGCAGGTGGCTGCGGAAGTACTTTTCGATGAAGCGCAGGCGGAGGACCCAGACCAGACAGCCCCGCGATCGACGGGTTTTGAAGATGCGAAACCTTTAGCTGAGGAGTTGATCGACAATCTGCTGGAGCTTCTTTTCTACACTAACTTCACGATCCCACCGCTGCCCACCGCGAAGAGCAAAGTGTCGTACTCGATCTGGCAGAGTGGTGTGGGTTGCAATACGTCAATGGGTTCTACAAAAGAGTTGGAGAACAACCGCTGCGAGATCCTACGGTTATTGCTTACTTTGACGGGAAAAGCAATGTACATGCCGTCTAGTGAGTTATCGTCTTCCCTTTGTTGGGAACCACTTGCTGACTATCGAAGGTCTACTTCCTGTGCAAGGCGTCAAGGCTATCACGTACATGACGACTTGCTCGGACAAGCAGGTGGTTTTAACTCTACTTTGCTCACTACTAAACACTGTACGTTCTGATAACACGCGGGTGTAAAGGTGTGGGTGGTGCTAACGAAGCTACGACAGGCTATCAAGTACAATCCTGCTTCGTGGAGGGTGCCCTATGATCATGTTGTCTGGAAAGACCCCAAGCAGATATTGGTCATCTATTGTCTGCAGTTTCTCCTCGTACTCCTTCTATATCCAGTACCAGAAGATGGTCGCGGAGCGCCGCCGAAGAACTATCATCGGCACTACTTTGGAAGATTACATCGGCCGCAAGACTTCCAATTCCTTACTGATGGCATGACCCGAATCTTGAATCAGCCGGTCCGTTTGCCTCTATCTCTACCCAGTCTCTCTGCTAACTCGCTCTTGAATAGATGCAAGCGACCAACTCTTATCTTCCGGGTAGTCAGAGATCGGTCAAATGGGCTCCTGAGATGCTCGTCTTGTTCTGGGAGGCGTTGCAATGCAACAAGCGATTCCGGTCCTTCATTATTGACTCGAACCGCTCGCACGACTTTGTTATTCTCTGTATATTTTATGCTATCGAGTATAAATCCGACCCTTCTAAGCAGGGCGTGGTTAGAATGTGCATCTTTATCATGCAGACGATGAGCGTGGAGCCCAATTTTGGCCAGAGCTTAAACACAAAGTTCGAGGCTCAAGAGACTCTCCCTCAGAGCATCCGTATCCCTGGGTTCCGGGGATCCTATGCTGATTTTTTGATCATGGTTTGTCGCTCACGGTTAGAAAACTAGTGGCATGAACTGACAGTGGTATAGTCCATTCACACTTTGATCACTGCCAGCAAAGGAAAGCTGAATACAGTATACCCTGCGCTTCTGGCTATCATCAACAACATTGCCCCGCATGTCGAACATCTTTCTCCAAGCTCGTGCTCGAAGTTGCTGCAGCTCTTCTCATCCATGTCAGCGCCCAGCTTCCTTCTGGCTAACGAGACGAATCACTCCCTTCTTTCCTCGGTCCTCGAGTCTATCAACTCAATCCTTGAACATCAGTTTACCAGTAGGTCATTTGTTGCAACCCTTGAAACAACATGCTAACTCGCTTAGAAAATCCTTTCCTGGTATATGCTATTCTAAAGTATAGAAAGCGTTTTGAGGCAGTGCGAGAATTCACTCTGGAGAGCGGGCAACAAGAGATAGAACGCCAGAATGAGCGAAGAAAGTCTTCAAGCGGTTCGCATGAATTTGTCTGCAGTCCCGTTCTTTCTCCCACTGAGGAAGAACCCCCGGTGCCTTCAGACACGCGGTCTCCATTGGGCCGCATACCAGAAGAGAATAGTCCTTTTGCCATTGGCGGAGACGAGGATTCGGATGATGAAGGAGAGGGACGGGACACACCGGCGCAGGATTCGCCATCAGTACAGACTTCTCGTCGACCATCGATTTCCTCTGTCATTGAAGAAAGCGTTCCCCTTCAGCTGCGCGGCATGTCTGAGAAGGCACGAGGCAAGATGCCTGCTGGACAGCCGTCCTTCTCGCGACAGAACAGCATGACTAGCCAAATTAGTCTTTCGGCGGCGTTTCCGACATCTTCCAGTGGTTTCACGCCGACTACAGCATGGGTAAGTGGCTCTCGTTACCTTAATCCCTGTGTTTCACCACTAACAGTGATTTCTTTTAGCTCGAATCCTGGTTGGCCGAACTGCCACTCCATACTATTCTCACGATAGTCTCCGCCATTGCTCCTCACGTCCCTGAGGCTGCATTCCGATCCGCTTCAAGCCCTGAAGCTCGAACCTTGATTAGCAACCTCCCGTCGTTCTTGGAAGATCCCGCAATCCACACGATTGTTTCAGAGCCATCGCCGGTTCGCGTCCACTCGTTTGAGTGGTCCGCCCTTTCAATGGGCTGGTACGAATCTCTGCTCTGGGGATTTATCTTCTCGAGCGAAATGGTGGTTGGCACCGCCTCGGGCGCTACGCCGGGCACGGTTGGAGTTTGGAACGGAACCAATATTAAGCTGTTCAAGGTCCAGGAGGCGGCAGCGCAAGGGCCCACGTTACTTGCGCCCAAGGGAGCCGTGGACGCCGTAGGAAGCAACTTGGTTCAACGCATCGGGAACCTGAGCTTCCGGCGGAGCAGCACACAGGAGTCTCAAACTAGCTCTCGGCCACCCTCAATTCGGGAGGTGTGAGGCTGCTATGCCGGACTTCTGGCAGCTTTGGTTTGCTGGGCTATGGTTCGTGTCATTACTTATGTTAGCTTTTCTTCTAATGATTCTTATGTTTGAATGATACCTTCCCGGCGTCTCGCAGATGGGCTGGTTTGTGTGCAGTTTAGTTTACTTTAGAAAGCCAGCGTGAGGTGGATGTTCATTTGTCCTTTCGTTTTGTATGTATGTTGTTGTTGTAGTATCAAGTAAATTGTTCATGTCGAATTGAATGCTATTTTGAGACATTTTTACTGTAGTCAGGCATCACCTGGTCCACTGCCACCGCTCCTTACCACCACCTTTTACACCTGCCAACCAGACAAGTATTATCTTGAGATCTAGGTAGATCGAATACATACATTCAACCCTCTGTCTTGAACATAGAAGCTATTAATCTGCTCCGTTAAGATCTCGGTGGTTGCTCGTGTTTCCCATCTACATCCCATGGGAGTCGCTGGCCGCCACGTGAGGCCGCGATTGGCTGACCTCCCTTTATTTGTCTCTCATCCTCACCAACAAAGAAAGAGACCGACTCCGACGTCTTAGGAATTATATTCTTATTATTTGTTTATTATCATCTCGAATAACGACTATCCTTATTGCTTGTACTCATTGACTTGGTACTCTACAACCCTCTCTAGACCATGGTACACACCCGATCGCTTGCTGTCGCGGCGTCCGCGTTCCTGCTCGGCGATCCGAGACTGGCCGCCGGAGGATCCACGGAGCTCCAAAGCGTATTGAAGAACACGCATGGCAGCAATGATTATGGCTATCCCACGGATTTTACTAGGGGTATAATGCCTGTGAGTACTCTCTTGGATGGTGGGGTGTCAGCTTGAAAAAATGATGCTGTTCCTACTTCAATCATGATATTTCTTTCACATAATTTGAGTTGAAGCTTATTGCTCCATTATCAGATCCCAGTTCACTCACATAAGTAAGTTCATGGCCTAGTAGTAGTTTTACAAGTCCCATATTGTGACCCTTGGCTAATCTTCATGACAGTGACTATTGGAGAGACATACCATTCTACACTGGTAGGCACGGCACTGTTAGCATAGCCAATGAGCATAGCTAACCGATCACTTCTACCAAAGGCCTATCCAAAGGATGCATTTCAACAGAAGCCGACGTATGGCTCTATAACGACACCCTCTATGTCAGTTCCACACTCGCATCTTCAATTGATGACCCAATCCTGACAGGGTAATACAGGTCGGTCACGACGAATCCTCCCTCACGAAAGACCGGACCCTTGAGTCCCTCTACATTAACCCAATCCTGGATGTGCTTAAACTCCAGAATCCCAGTAGCCCATTTGTAACAACCCCAACCAACAAGTGAGTCACCTATAACACCTTACACTTCATCCAGAAGCAAATGCAACTAACAGCACCAACAGCGGCGTCTTCGACACCTCCACTTCCCAAACACTCTACTTCTTCATCGACCTCAAAACCTCCGGCCCGGAGACCCTCAATGCCGTGATCTCCGCTCTCCAACCTCTCCGCGATCAGGGCTACCTCACCACTCTTAAGGACAACAGTACTATCACTACTGGCCC